GGCAGGTGCGTTGTGCCTTGTGTACCAGGGCTGCCCCCGCCTGACTCTGTTGGCTGGACTGGAGGGAGGCCAGCGGCAGGGAGACCAGGGTAGGGCGTGGTGAGACAAGTCTGGGAGGAGCCTGAGCCCTGAATGAGGCACGGGGTGCAGGCGGCAACAGCGCACAGAGATGGGGAAGAGGAGGACTCAAGGAGGCCTGGGGACCACAAAGGAAAGGAGCAGGTGTCACTGAGGACAAGGTCCATTCAAGTTTCCTTATTTTTTGTGAAACAGAGTCTCACTCTGTCTCCCAGGCTGGAGTGCCGTGGTGCAATCTCAGCTCACTGCAGCCTCTGCCTCCCAAGTTCAAGTAATTCTGGTGCCTCAGCCTCCTGAATAAGTGGGACTACAGAAACGTGCCACCACGCCGGCTAATTTTTGTATTCTTAGTAGAGACAGGGTTTTGCCATGTTGGCCAGGCTGGTCTCAAACTCCTGACCTTGGGTGATCCACCCGCCTCGGCCTTCCAAAGTGCTGGGATTACAGGTGTGAGCCACCGTGCCCAGCCTTCATTTCACTCCTGAAATGCACTCCTGAAGAGGAGACAGGGAGCTCAGGCTTCTCCATCAGGAGGTGAAGCACGCAGGAGCAGGAGGCCTCCCAGCCTGCCCGCCAGGCCAGAGACCTCAGTCACAATGGACGAGTGGGGAGGAAGGTGGCTTGAGTCCCAGCCCCTGACAGCTCTCCTCCAGAGCGTCCTCTTTTCCATCTGTGAAATGGGGGGCGCGCTAGCATCCCAAAGCTCCCTGACCCTGAGTGGGGGAAGAAGTTCCCCTGGAGTCCAGGGGCTGGGTGGGTGGTGCCACTGACCCCGGGCAGGCCTGCGACGAAGGAGTGGTGGGAGCGATGCCTGTGGTCATCCCCGGCCAACACTGGAACTCAGGGCTCCCATCCACACAGGGGTGTCTTGGAGACCCTTGGCTCGAGTCCCACCCCTCCATCTTCTCAGGGGTCCCTCCCAGGGAACCACATCGCCACCTTCATATCTGAGGCTGGGGTCCTCAAAGGGCAAAAGCTCCGCTAAAACCCAAACACCAGGGGTGGGTGGTGGCCCCCTTGGTCCCCTGGGTGGACAACTCACTCCTCCGGAAACACCACGGGCTCATTCTTGATCTTCCTGTGGAGCGCCAGGATGTAATCGTCGATGAACGGGCACTGCGGGGTGGAGAGGCAAAGGAGGTGGGCCTGGGGCCTTGATGCGTGCCAGGGGACCAGCCCCCGCCCCTTGGTGGGGCCGGGACAGGGGCAGCTCTGGGCTCCCAATGACATGAGAAGGACCTCAATTCATTTGCTCAGGGCCCGGCACACTGCAAACGTGCCACAGATGTTGACCAAATGAAAAAGTCACGGGGAATGAGGAGACTGGGTGCATCCACCGCCATGACAGCCACCTGCAGCCGGGCCTCCGCTCCCAGGGCCACTGAAATGCCCTCCTGCCCCTTAGTGCGGTCACCAGAGCAGGAGCACCTGCGGACTGGGATCTCGGTCACGCCAGCGCTGGGTGTCCCCAGGGTTCCGCCTCAGCCGGGGTAGGAGTGAAGGACAATTGGTTGAATGAATCAGCAACAGAGTGAATGCGTGACTCAATGAATGAATGGCATCAAGGGACAGAGGGACGGGAGCACTCTGGCTGGGGAGGTGGCAAAACCATCAACACCTCCCCTTGGGTGCCTGCCGTCCTGGGACCCCTTCCCTCGAATCCCTCCGCAGGGGATGGGAGAAAGACAAAAAATGACAGAAAAAGCCTCTTCTCTCTCAGGCTTCTCTGAGCCAGGTGGGCCCTTTCAAAAGCCACTTTGCTTAAGGACAGAAAGGAAGGGCCTGCGTCTGTCACCCATGCCCGCCTCACTGGACCTGCCCCAGCTCTGCTGGCATCCCCGGCACTCACCTTCCCATAGACAAAGCAGTACAATGTGACGCCGGTGGCCCACACGTCCAAGGCCTGGAAAGAAACATGCTCACATCAGTCCCCAACAGGCACCGCTGCCTCTGCCCACCCAGCTCCAGTGGGCTGTGGGAGAGGCCCGCAGGGAACCTCTTTCCTCTGTCATGTATTCACTCAACAAACACGCCCCGGTGCCTCCTCCACGCTGGGCGATGTGCTGAGTGCTGAGGACACAGGGCCAGCCAGAACAGGGACTCCACCCTCCAGGAGCTCTGAGTCTCCTTGGGACAGGCTCAACCAGGTACATTTCCAAACCAACAGGTACAAAACCTCCCTCATCCACAGGGTCACATGTGCCACCCCAGGAATGATGGTATATATGGAACTTCTGCTGAATAAACCAGCTCAGGCTTGTAGGAGTCACCCTTCTCCTGACAATCCACCTTCTTCCTGATATTGCGAGCAGCCCCTGCCCACACAGAGGCCCTGCCCACTCACTCCCTCGCCCACGGCCACTGCAACAACTCCTCCCGGCTCCCAAGCACCCCTGGGCTTCCCCACGGCCTGGATTCCAATTCTTAGTGCGCTCTCTCTATCTTCTCCTGCTCTGGGACGTCACCTCTTCTGGTATCCACTTTCTCGCTTACGTGAGTGATTCACAAATCTCTACCGACACGTTCCTGCCCCAGATGCATCATCTGAATCCAATCAGGGAACATCCAACAAATGCAAACTGACAACATTCTACAAACTAACAGGCTTGTTCTCTTCAAAATGGCAAGGTCAGGAAAGGCAAAGGAAGGCCAAGGCGTTCTTCCAGATCAAAGGGCAGCAAGGACAAGAAAGAGAACGGAGGGTGGGTCCCTGGACCCGAGACAGAAAAAGTTCCGAAGGACAGTATCAGGACAACAGAGAGTGTTTAAATAAGGTCTGTGGATTATATATGTATTTTTTTTTCCAGACGGAGTCTCATTTTGTTGCCCAGGCTGGAGAGCAATGGCGCGATCTCAGCTCACTGCAATCTCCGCCTCCTGGGTTCAAGCAATTCTCCTGCCTCGGCCTCTCAAGTAGCTGGAATTACAGGTGTCTGCCACCACGTCCAGCTAATTTTTTTTTCTTTTTTTTGAGATGGAGTCTTGCTTTGTCACCAGGCTGAAGTGCAGTGACGGATCTTGGCTTACTGCAACCTCCACCTCCTGGGTTCAAGCGATTGTTCTGCCTCGGCCTCCCTAGTAGCTGGGACAACAGGCGCGCGCCACCATGCTTGGCTATTATTTTTTGTATTTTTAGTAGAGATGGGTTTCACCATATTGGCCCGGCTGGTCTGGAATTCCTGACCTTGTGATCCGCCCGCCTCGGCCTCCCAAAGTGCTGGGATTACAGGCACGAGCCACCGCGCCTGGCTAATTTTTGTATTTTTTAGTAGAGACAGGGTTTTGCCATGTTGGCCAGGCTGGTCTTGAACTCCTGACTTCAGGTGGTCCACCGGCCTTGGCCTCCCAAAGGGCTGGGATTACAGGTGTGAACTACCATGCCCGGCCTATATTTAAATCTTATCAATGACGACTTTCCTAATTTTAATCACTGTTCTGAGGTTATGTAAGAGAATGTCCCTGTTCTTAGGAAATAGCCACTGAAGTGTTTAGTGATAAAGGGGCATAACACCCTCCACGTACCTTTCAAATGGCTCAGAAAGAGGCAGTATGAGTGCAGATAAATAGAAAAAGATGACAAGAGAGCAAACAGGACAAAAGGTCAACAACCGGTGAATCTGGGTAAAAAGGTACGTGGGGTTTCTTTGTACTGTTCTTCCAGCTTTTCTATAAATGTAGAGTTAGATCAAAATAAAACATTTCAAAAAGTCTTTATCAACATCCCCAACCTCTTTTTGCCTTTCATTTTTAGAGACAAGGTCTCACTCAGTCACTCAGGCTGGAGTGCAGTGGCACGATCACAGCGCACTGCAGCCCCCAGCTCCTGGACACGAGTGGTCCTCCCACCTCCGCCTCCCGAGTAACCGGGACTACAGGCATGCACCGCCACCCCTGGCTAATTTTTTTGTAGAAGTGGGGTCTTGCTATGTTGTCCAGGCTTATCTCAGATTCCCAGCCTTAAGAGCCCCACCTCTGCCTCCGAAAGCACTGCGATTACAGGCATGAGCCACTGTGCCCGGCCTCCTGAGCTCTTTCCTGGACACTCAACACGTGTCCAAATGCCACTCAGCCACAGCCTCCCTGGCAGCGGGGTGGTTGGCACCCCACAGGTGAAAACAGTCATGTGCCCAGGAAACTACGCCAGACTGTGTAACCTCTTGTTCAGACAACTCTGCCTATGTTTCTGCCGCTTAGGAGAAAGCCCAGACTGCCAGGCCCTCTACCCTCTGCCCCCGCCCCGTACCCCTCTGTTCTCTGGTTTGTTCTCTGGGTTCCAGGTCCTGCTCAGATCCTCCCCATTCTTCAAGGGCCAGTTCAAACCCTGCCATGTCCAAGATCTGCAGGGGGCCTCCAACTTCCCCCTAAACTAACCGGAGGGCAGGAAACAGGCTTCTCTTTGGCTCTGCCTGTTCCGCAGCCCAGTCCAGAACCCTGCACAGAGCAACCGACAGGAAATATCTGCAAGGGAGATTTGGGGCCACTTTGCTGGAAAACAGGAGAAGGCCAAAGGCGAGGAGTTTATCAGGCTCCAAGAAGAGGCAACTGTGTCACTCCCTAGGTACAAGGACCCTGGCACCCTCCGGTGGGAAATGGGGTCCCTGCCCCAAGCTACCACGCCCCTCCACCTGAACCCCAGCCTGGCCCGGGGCCTGAGAGTCACCTTCCCACTGAAGCTCTGGCCGGAGTCAGAAATGGCCTCGGGGGCCATGAAGGCTGGCGTCCCAGCCGTGCTGGACAGCTGAGCGTCGTTCCCCTCAAACTGGTTGCTGACGCCGAAGTCGGCGATCTTCACGTGCCCATCGTCCCCCAGGAGCAGGTTGGACGGCTTGATGTCCCTGTGGACGATCTTCTGGCAGTGCACTGCAGAGAAAGGGGGCTTGATCCGCGCGCTGGCCTGGGCACGGATGTCCGGGAGCCCACACCTGTCCTCGCCTAGCCAGGGACACCCCAGCCTGTGCATGCTTTCGTCTTGGTGATGAACCAGGAAGAGGACGTCAGGGCCATCCACTCCATGCAGGTGAGGACACTCAGCCCAAGCTGTGAGCAGCAGAGCCAGGACTGGAACCTTAGGAGTCTGGACTCCTCTCTGCCCTCTCCATGAAAAAAAACAGGCAGGTCACAGGAAACTAGGGCAGAAGACTTCTTTTTTTTTTTTTTGAGACAGAGTCTCGCTCTATTGCCCAGGCTGGAGTGCAATGGCACCATCTCGGCTCACTGCAACCACCGCCTCCCAGGATCAAGCGATTCTCCTGCCTCAGCCTCCCAAGTAGCTGGGATTATGGGCATAAGCCACCATACCCGGATAATTTTTGTATTTTTAGTAGAGACAGGGTTTCACCATGTTGGCCAGGCTGGTCTGGAACTCCTGACCTCAGGTGATCCACCCACCTCAGCCTCCCAGAGTGCTGGGATTCCAGGCGTGAGCCGCCGGCGTGCCGGGACGGGAGGAGACTTCTTCCTAGCCCAGCTCTGCCCCTTCCCTGTGAGTGCTGTCTGGAGGCACAAAGCCCACCGAAACCTTTCTCCAGTTCCATCCCCACCCAGTCGAGTCAACAATGTCCCTGGCTGCTGGGACTGAGAGTAAGATTGTAGGGATTGTGCTATCCTACAGAGGTACGATCTCAGCCCTCAGGATCAGGGCTGACGGGGTTTCAGGGACACTGGCACCCCAGGCCTTGAGGCTAGCAGATGGCACAGCTGGGGTATAAGGCCAGCCATGTCTAGTAGGATGAAGCCAGAATCAGAAATGACTCAGTAGGTGGAAGCCTGCCCCGCTTCCTGGGTCAAGCACCACCAGGAAGTCACGAGTGGCTCAGGCTGAGATGGCCAGAAAGGTCCCAGCCAAGAGAGACACTGACCCCATCCCATGACCATCCACTTGCGGGCTCCCTCCTTGGCAAACACCTTCCCTTCCCCTGGACCAATGGACCCCAGGATGCTAGAGAGGAGGAGAGAGAAGACAGGGGAAGGGAGAGGAGGAGAGGGAGGCTGGGGGCAGAGAGGGCGCCAGTGGCATTTTCTTGATGGCCTACTATGTGCCAGGCACACACAAGGAATCCGACGCACAGCCATCAGGGCACAGCAGCTCAGGGGCTGGATGTTTGGCCATGGATCTCATGCTCTCATCTCAAGTCCCAGCCTCTCCCTTGAACTCCAGGCTCCTTACCCACATGGATTTCCAGTAGACATCTCGTTAGACAGCTTGGCAGCTGGCATCAACATATGTCCCTATGCATCTGACTATAGTGAGTAACGTGTCTCATTCACGACTCGATTACTCTGCCTGCAACTCCTGCCACCCACAAAAACAAACAACAAAACAAAAAGCCCTGCTGCTCCCCAGTCCTTCTCACTCTGTGAAAGGCCAAAACCCTCAGGATCATCCTCAGTTCCTCCTCTGAGACCCCACCCCCCATTCAGGGGCGAGGTCTGTGAGCCCAGCCTCTCACATCTATCCCAGACCCAACTGCTTCTCATCACCTGCGTCGCCACCCCTACCCACATCAACTGAGAGCCAGGTCTGGGCCTCCCTGACCCCCGGGCCCTCTCAGGGCGGCCTCCACTCTCCCTTCTTGGAGCCAGAAGCACAAGGCAGGTCTCCAGCGCCCTGCGCCTCTGTTCATCCACCTGCCAGCCCCTGGCACTAACCGCTCTGCTCCAGGAAAGCCCTTCACTGTGATGAGCTGGGTCCTGAAGAGGCTTTACCCAAGAACCAGGGAAGATAAACTCGTTTCTTTGCGGTGGCTAGGGGACAGCAGACCGCAGGACTTCAGCTGGAAAGAAGGGCCTAGAACAGGAAGTGGTGGAGCCAGGCTGGTACAGGACTGTGCCTGTCGCTGACCATAACAGAAGTAAAATATCTTCTTCCTATCCCATGCCTCCAGGCCCTTAGGAGGGACTTTTTACAAAGCCCTCACTTCTGTGTGCCTCAGTTTCCCCATATGTGCAAAGAGAATCTAAATCTGAAGGCACAGGAGAGGACTGAGCAGGATAAAGACAGTCCTGTTTCTGTCACTGCAGGTCAAACCTCAGCCAGATCCTCACCCTGTTCCCCTAGGGAAAAAATATGCTCCCCAGAAACCAAGCTAAAATTTTATTTTATATTTTTAAATTAATTAATTAATTAATTTGGAGATGGAGTTTCACTCTTGTCGCCCAGGTTGGAGTGCAGTGGTGCGATCTCAGCTCACGGCAACCTCCACCTCCCAGGTCCAAGCGATTCTCCTGCCTCAGCCTCTGGAGTACCTGGGATTACAGGCCCCTGCTGCCACGCCTGGCTAATTTTGTATTTTTAGTAGAGACGGGGTTTGGGTTTTCACCATGTTGGCCAAACTGGTCTCAAACCCCTGACCTCAGGTGATCCACCCGTCTCAGCCTCCCAAAGTGCTGGCATTACAGGCGTGAGCCACTGGGCCCGGCCCAAGCTAAGATTTTAGAGATGGGCATCTCCCCTGGTCCCCAACCCAGGCCAGGACCCTAGGTGTCCGAGGGCTCCCCATCCCCAGGCCGGCCAGTCACCCCATGCTGACCACCCTACCTCCTTCCTGGCCCCACGCCACTGCCACTGCCCTAATCCAGGCCTCACCATCTGTCACTCGGGCTGCAGAAACAGCCTCCTCCCTGGCCAGCTGGCTGCCTCTCACCCTCCGATGACACCCTCCAATCCAGCCACCACACAGCTGCCAGACAGGGCTTTCTCAGGCGCAAATCCCATCACGCTCCTCCCCTGCTCAAAGCTTTCCGGGCCTCACAGCGCTGGCAGGATGAAGTCATGAAAGACCTCAGGGGAGGCTCCCCAGCCCTCAGGCTGCAGCCTGGAACAGGTTTCCAGCACCTTCTTTCACTAACCACAGCCGTGCTCTGCCCGCTGGAGGCTTCAGCCAGACTGAACTTCTCCCCAGACTCCAAGAGTGCGAGACTATGCCTGGCGCACTCTCTCCTACCCCCACCCCTCAAAACCTGACCAGGGAACTCTACTCATCCCTCAGGACCCTCGTCCTAAGTAGCCTCTTCCAGGGAGCCTTCCCCAACCCCCTGGCACTCCAACGGCCTGCAGGCTCCACTGTATTATCTGCCTGCCAAGATTCCTGTCCCTCCCACTAGGCTGTGAGGTCGGGTCTTTGCTCCCAGCCAAGTGAATGCAGCAAATGAGTGAAATGAGACAGAGGCTAAGCTCACATCACCCTCCTGAGCTCTCATCAGCCTAGGGCCCCTGATGGTTAAACCCGCCCTGTCACCGTGCCCTGGCCCCTGGCCAGGACAGACTCTCCCCCAGAAGCTGGACATAAATCCCTCCCTTCCCATATCGCTTGAGGCCCCGTGGCGAGGCTAAGCTAGGCTAAGAACTCAGCAGAAGAAAGATACAGACAGAACACCCAGGACTCAGACCGACAGGACCAGACCCTGCGATGGATCTGGTGCATGTCCAGTGAAGTCCACCGCTCCCACCCTCCCCCTCCGCCTCCACCCTCCCCCTCCGTCTCCAGCTTCCCCCCATGGAGGCCTTTGGCCCCGCCCACACACGCATGCCCCACCCTCACTGAAGCTGATTGGCAGGCCAGCTGTGACTGACAGGAGCGGCTCAGCACCTGCTCGGCCTGGGCTCTGCTGCCTCCCAGATCCCCTAGCCTGAGCCCCGGGGACAGGGAGCTGGGCACTCACAGTACTCGAGGCCCAGGATGACGTCCCGCAGGTAGAGGCGAGCTTGCTCCTCCGAGAAGGGCTTGTCGCAGGGCACTTCCATGACGGGACTGTGGAGAAGGATGTGGGGAGGGGCATTCAGCCGGAATCAGGGGACCCCACCATTCAGGCGGTCAGGACATCCTGGGAAACCTGTGCTCACATGGGTCCCTACAACCCAAGATAGGAGCTCTTTCTCCTATGTAATAAAACATTTAAAGCACACGTACTCATACATATCCCGTTTCAATCATAATTTCAAATCAGCTTTATCTTAATTTCTGACTGGCTTGATACTCTTTCTTCTAAGTACTTAACTGTCTGTAATCAAACAATTGTAAAGACGCCATTTAGAGCACTGTGTTTCAAACTGTGGATCCCCACCCAACAGAGGATCATGAAATCAATTTAATGGGTGGCAACGGCTTTTTTTTTCCCTAAAGAAATAGCCGGGCGCGGTGGCTCACACCTGTAATCCCAGCACTTTGGGAGGCCGAGGCGGGTGGATCACGAGGTCAAGAGATCGAGACCATCCTGGTCAACATGGTGAAACCCCGTCTCTACTAAAAATACAAAAAATTAGCTAGGCATGGTGGTGCGTGCCTGTAATCCCAGCTACTCAGGAGGCTGGGGCAGGAGAATTGCCTGAACCCGGGAGGCGGAGGTTGCGGTGAGCGAGATCGCGCCATTGAACTCCAGCCTGGGTAACAAGAGCGAAACTCCGTCCCAAAAAAAAAAAAAAAAAAAAAAAAGAAATAGAATATATCAGAATATATCACATGTAGTAAAGATATATGCTGTTTTGTAAAACTTTGGTTTCACTTACAGAAATGGATAGCAGCATAAATATACATTTCTTGTTTTGGATAGAGGTCAAAACATTGGAAAGCCTCCAAGTCTTAAAGGGACATCACTCCCTGCCCCTCTACCCAAATTGGCCTGTGGGAAGCTGCCAGGCAGAGCGCCAAGCCACAGCCTGCATTCAGGCCTTGGCAGTGAGGATCCTGGTCCACTCAGTCCCGAGCTCACTAATCCATGTCATCCGCTCTAAATACCCTGGAAAGCCACACAGTGCAGACATGTGGAACCCTAGGCTCCATCCGTGACTTGCTGTGTGACCGTGAGCAAGCCACGTACCTTCTCTGGTCCTCAGCTTTCCCTCTCATAAATGGGAGCAAATGGAATCCCACCCATTCCATTCACAGGCTTGTGCAAAGCTGAAAACCCTTTGTGATCTGAATACAGGTAAGAGTTGAGTCCCACCTCTCTACTTTTACTTAAAAACCACGCCTTTCTTCCCTTCTCCTCTCTCCATATCTTCCCAGTTCTTGAAGGCCTGGTTAAAAAACTCATCCCCTCTTCCAGAGGCCTCCCTGACTATTTCAGCCGCACTGACTCCCATCTTCTTGCTCTCTTATTTACCCCCAAGGGCAGGGCCTCCGTCTCTGATTTCTCCTGGGGTAGCTGACCCTTGGGCTGGGGACACAGGGAGGGAAAGGAAGGAAGGCCTGGATGAGAATTGACCTGCCTGATCAGGACGGGGAACTCACCCCTTTCTCAGGAGGTCAAACACTGAAAGAAAAGACAAGAAGGTAAGGTGTAGCTGGCTGGCAAAGCAGCCGACGCTGAGGTCCCTCCCTGTTCTGGAGGGTAGGAGGGGGCAGGCATGCAGGCGTGCTTGAGGCAGGGACTGGACCAGGAGTCCCGGGATATCAGAGCAAATAAATGGATGAGAGCGGGACCTGCTATGGACCTGCCTCATCTGATCGCCAGGTGCCAGGAAGGAGCCGGCAGCAGAAGCTCGGGCCCTTTTACAGAAGGGGAAACTGAGGCACAGAGAAGGGGCAGAAGTTTTCCTAAAGGTCATAGGAGACAGGCAGGCAGGGTAGAGAGGAGAATAAAGCCTCGGCCTCTAATTCCTAAGCCAGTTCTTCTTCTGCCCCATTTTCTGAGGCCTCCTCTAAGCCCAGCCCCGAAGCAGATGCAAGGAACTAAAATAATAACATCACTCTTAACAAGGCAAATAACAAATGTGCTTTACATATCGTTACTCATATACTCCTCACATCAACCCTATGAAGTAGATACCATTCGTACCCGTTTTACAGGTGAGGAAACTGAGGCATGGAGCTACAGCATCTGGGAACCTGTACAGCCTGCTTCCTGCCTCTACCTGAGTGCAGAGCCCAAATGCATCCCCTGTCTTGCTGCTCAGAGGGACGCAGGGAGTGGGCTTGGGAATATCTGCTGCGTCTAACTGGGTATTCTGGGACTGGTTCCGCAGGGCTGGGCAAGGGACGCTGGGGCTTCAGAACGCGTGTTTCTCTTCTGTTCCCAGGAGGTCAGTGCCTTCACATCGCCCACCTGAAGGTCATGTGTGTCCCAAGGGAGCCCTTGGACCAGCCCTGGGTGAGCTGCTGTGGGAATGAGCTGGGTTACTCACCCAAATAGAGATTGTCCTCAGCTGGGTCATCCAGGACCTGGTCAGAGGGAGCAGACATGGTGGGGGGGGGGCTTGAGGAGGCATGGGGTTGGGGCCCCAGGCCAGCCCCAGAACCCTCAGTATCCACTGCAACCACCCCAGGCAATGGAGCAGGAGTTTACAGGTGCCAGACGGATGAAGCCTCAGAAATCACTGGCCCCCAGCCTGGCATCCAGACCTTCTCCCCTCCTGCTGCATCGAGGTGCTCACTTCTTGCCTCTGGGGCAGCCCCTCACCCTCCGTGGGAACAGGGGAACACCCCTGACCAGGCTGGACCCCCAAAGCCTCCCTGCAGACCCACCCCAAGACTGGCCCTGTCCTCAGAAGCCTCAGCCACATCTGCTCCTTTGGCAAGACCCCTGGGTCTGTGGTAGGGCTCCCCAGCCCCAGAAGTGAGACTCAGGCGCCAGCTCCCACCGGCTCATCACCGCCCCCTACCGGCTCACCACCACCCCCTACCTCGATCAGTTTGACTACATTCACGTGGTCCAGCTTCTTCAGGATGGCAATCTCCTGGTACACCCGCTCCAGGGGCAGCAGCTGCTTGGCAGGTCCTCCCTGGGCAGCCTGGGACCCTCTTGGGGGAGGGCGACCTGTGACCAGGGAGGGAACTCAAGCACCTGCTCCAGACGGCTCGGCCTCACTGTGGCCCAAAGCCAGCCTCCAGCAAGAGTCTGTATGGACCACGGTCTTGTGTCTTGTCCCAACCCCCAAGCACATTCCCGCCCCCAGCCTTTGCCCGGGCTGTCTCCCTCTCTACCCCATCCCCAGCCAAAACTAGCTCGGGACTGAGGTCTTCTCTTCCTCTGCCACTAAGGCTCGGAGCTCCCAGGAGCAGACCAGAAGATACGTACGTGGAAAGCCATATTGCTTCAGTAATTTCTTTTTGGAAAGGACTTTCATTGCCTAAGGAAGGAGGGACAGAAATGTCACTAGTGGGCCAGGCCCGGGGGCTCGCACCTGTAATCCCAGCACTGTGGGAGGCCAAGGCAGGCGGATCACCTGAGGTCAGGAGTTCAAGACCAGCCTGACCAACATGGAGAAACCCCATCTCTACTAAAAATACAAAAAATTAGCCTGTAATACCAGCTACTTGGGAGGCTGAGGTAGGAGAATCACTTGAACCCAGAAGGCGGAGGTTTCGGTGAGCCGAGATCATGCCATTGCACTCCAGCCTGGTGACAGAGTGAGACTCTGTGTTAAAAAAAAAAAAAAAAAAAGAACCGTCACTAGTGTGTGCAGCCACCAGGGGCTAGAACAGGCCAGGACTTGTGGACTGAGGTCCAGAGATGCACACTGACTGGGCATCTGCCGCAGCCCTGAGGGTGTGGCCCAGCATGTGTCACGTGGGTTTTGGGGGTGGCCATAGCTATGTCTGGGCCTTCCCCTTTCTCCCCCAGCAAGCCTTTCTGGAGCTTTCTCCTAGGAGGAATCCAGCCTCTGCTTGGATATCCCCAGGGTTGGGAAGCTCATTCCTTTGCATGCCCCTAAGGACAGGGAGCTCACTCCTGGGCAGCCCTGTCTGCTCTCTCCTGCGCACACTCCTGACCCACCCCTCAGGCTTCTAGGGCCCGGCTTGGGCAACGCCTCCCTCTTATCCCCAGACTCACGTAGTGTCTGTCTTCACTTTCATTGTAGGCCAGCCTCACCACACCATAGGCGCCCTGCAGACAGGCATCGGTCAGCCCCACCTGGACAGGCAATCCCTCCCAGGACCAGCTCGGGAAGTGGGGAGCCTGAGCAGCTCCGGTCTCTCCTGCCCCCCATGTGCACCTCTCACCACCAGCTGGTTCATGGGCATATATTGTAGCAGAAGGAGGGGACTCCTGTGCCCCGCTAACTGCCTCCGCTTGGCTTGACATGGCTCCATTCCTCCCTCAGTCCCTCCTTGTCAACTCTCAAGAGCTCTGAGGAGTCGGGACTCAGGAGTCATCTTCCACCCTCCCCCTGGGTACCTGGTACCTCCCACAGGGCACGACACTGTCCTTACCCCCAAGCTAGGACCTGCCTGGCTCTGCCTCCCATTGCCTCCCACACAGAAGAAGGGCCGGTGCTGAGCCCACACTGCTTCCGGCCTGCCCCGTCCTACCTTGCCAATCTCACTCTGCAGCTTGTACTGGTTCAGCTGAACACAGTCCTGTGGGGGGAAGAGTAAGCATCAGGTCAAGCTGGATCCAGAAGCAGCCCTGCTCCTACCTCAGAGCCCGTCCAGTGCCCAATCCTGGCCACAGGCCCCTCATTCCCAGACCCCCAGGTCACACCAAGCTTCTGAGTCAGGATGGGGAAGTCAGTGGTGCCATCGCCCCTGTATGTGATGAGAAGACGTGGCTCATGTTTGAACATATAACAGGAAAACGCAGCAATTCCCATCCGGCTTCTGGAGTCTGGGAGACCCCATTCCATGAGAAACCCATGAGCTACTATTTCCAGAAGCAGCTGCATAAGAAAGTCTAGACTCCAAAAACAAGATGAGAAGCCCTGGGCAGAGGCCGAGGGGCTGGGTTCAGGCACAGAAAGCTTAGCCCCTGACGGAGGCCAGCTCTGTAGACCTGCTTAGAACCCGAGTTCACTTTCAGACCTAAGTGCCAAGAACTTCAGAGGAAGCCAGAGGCAGGGGGCAGGTAGGCCACTTCTGAGTCAGAGCGGATTCTAAGGCAGAGTTAGAGGTGAGGAGGGCAAGCTGGGGAAGAGTGAGGAAGCAGGCAGGCCATGGCATCTATCCTCAAAGTTCTAAGAGGATGACACAGGGGACAAGGGAGAGACCTCTGTCCCAGGCCTGGGCTGGGGGTGGGAATGGCAACCTTTGGCTCAGCTGGAGCTCCCCTGGGTGGGAAGAGGCTGCATTATTAGGTAGTGATCTTCCCAGCTCTGAGGGTATGCAAACCAAAGCTAGATAGCTGTGTGACACAGATAGAGACAGAAAAGAGTTTTCACTGCAGTCTACTGAGGGGCTCTGCCACCAACCTCTGCATCTGAGATGGCCACGTGGTGGGACTCGATGGTGGGCCTCCGCCAGGCCCGTGGGGAGATGTGGCTGGCAGGCCCCGTGGCATAAGGCCCAGCCTGTGCCCCCAGACAGCTTCCTGCCGGCCGCTCCTGCAGGGAAAGCTTCCGAGCGGAGAGGCTAGGCCGGGCGGGGAGCAGTCTTGAAGCACTGCCAGGGATGACAGAGGCGGCTCTGGCCCGTGGCGGAGGGTCCACACCGTTTCTAGTGGGCTCTGGGCCACCATCTGCTTCTTCCAAGTGGGTCACATCAATGGCTGCTACCCGTTCTACCAGCTCTGCCCGAGGATCCTGGCAGCAGACAGCTGGGCCGCCCTCCATTGCTTTAGTCAAGCGGGGGTCTTCTGAGTGGCCTTGCTGGAAACCTGAGAAAAGAGGACAGAGAAGCCTGAAGTTCTGACTCCTGGATGTCAGGCTGGCTGCCAAGTAAGGAGCGCCCCCATGGCCACAGCCCCGTGGCTCCCACCTCCATGCCTCACTCCTGGATGTCAGGCTGGCTGCCAAGTAAGGAGCTCCCCCGTGGCCACAGCCCCATGGCTCCCACCTCCATGCCTCACTCCTGGATGTCAGGCTGGCTGCCAAGTAAGGAGCTCCCCCGTGGCCACAATCCGCTGGCTCCCACCTCCATGCCTCTGCACTGGCTGTTCCCTCTACTGGGAGTGCCAACATCCCAACTGAAGTCTGTCCCTATGAACTGAGGGAGTTCACATCTGCTTCTGCTGTATGCTAGCCCTCCAGGCCTGTCTCCCTGCCGGTAACAGGCAGTCACCTCTGCCTGCTGGCTTCACAGGGAAGCAGAGAGAACCTGATACTCTGGGGTCAGGACAGACGGGGGCAGAAGCCTGGAGGCCCAGCAGCGCTGGAGGAGCAGAGCCCAGGGTCGGCTCAGCCCCAGCAAAGCATGCAGCCCTGTGAGTCCTGAGTCCTGACCCTGGACCACAGAGCGAGGCACTAGCAACTCAGAAGCTGTGCTGGTGCTGCAGACCCACCCGCCTCCTCCAGGGAGGCCGCCCTCCTTTCCCCATCCCTCTCACTGCTTCCAGGAAGACTTCTCTGGGGCTCCTGACTCCAGCCGGCTCTGCCTCATTGATATCTGTCAAAGCAAGAGGATGGGCCTCGAGGGGTGGCTCACGCCTGTAATCCCAGCACTTTGGGAGGTGGAAGCAGGCAGATCACCTGAGGTCAGGAGTTGGAGACCAACCTGGCCAACATGGCAAAACCCTGTCTCTACTAAAAATACAAAAATTACAGGTGGTGGCACACACCTGTAATCCCAGCCGAGGGAGGCAGAGGCAGGAGAATCACTTGAACCCGGGAGGCGGAGGTTGCAGTGAGCTGAGATTGTGCCACTGCGCTGGGCAACAGAGCAAGACTCCATCTCAAAAAAAAGCAAGGGGGTGGGAACAAGGGGGCTGAGGGGTGACACAGTGGCATGACACCCCGACATCCATGTTCTCAAAGTCGCTGTGTGGCGGCTGAAACATCAGGGAGGTGACGCCCAGCCCTCACCATCAGCCATGACCCTAGGCTATGCCCTGAGCCTGGACTGCACCTTGACACTCAGCCTGAGACCCCCGTCCCTGTCCCAGGCTGGCAGAGCGCTGGCCGCACCCAAGCTGATGCCCCACCTCTGCCTGCACTGGACTCTGCATCTTCGCAGGAGAAGGAAGTGAGTGGACTCCTGACCCGCCATCCTTCCTGTCTGCTGGTAACTTCCTCTGGACCCACACAGCGACTGAGAACGTGGGTCTCAGGGAGTGTCGCGCCTATGTCACCCTGCGTTCCCCACGCCCTTGCTTTGACAGATGTCAGCGAGGCAGGGCTGGCCACTGAGGAGCCAGGGCCAGGTTCCAGTCCTGCCTGCCGACCTACCAGGGGCCCCAGACAAGCTCCTTCCCGATTCCGAGCCCTGGTCTCCTGACTTGTCATGGGGATTCCATACCTTCCAGATTCCCCAGCCTCGCGGCAGGGTTTGGAGGTAGACTGTGGGTGAGGGTGTGGTCCAGACCCCCGTGCCTGGCACGCGGCATGTTGACGAAGTGGGAGTCTAGAGGTAGTGGGCTGATGCTGACACAGAGGAAGGAAGAGGGAGGGGTCCACACCAGGAACAGGAAAAGGCATGAAAGCTGGACCCAGGGGAGTGAGAGGGAAGCGGTGGGGCTGGAACATCAATCAGGCCTTCCTGGAGAAGGTGAGAGGGACAGGGAGTGGGGCTGTGGCACGGGGAGGGCTCCCCGGAGGAGGTGAGAGGGACAGGGAGTGGG